AATTCCCATTTTTTCCCCCCAAATTCCCATTTTCCCCCCGAATTCCCGTTTTCCCGGGATTTCCCGGGATTTCCCGGTATTTCCCGGTATTTTCCGGGATTTTCCGGTATTTCCCGGTATTTCCCGGGATTTCCCGGGATTTTTCTGGGATTTCCCGGGATTTCCCGGGATTTCCCGGTATTTCCCGGTATTTTCCGGTATTTTCCGGTATTTCCCGGTTTTTCCCGGGATGTCGCTCACTCTGTCTCGGGGGGGGCGTCTCGGGCCCCTCCCCCCCCTCCCTCCTCTTCTTGCGGCGCTGCTGCGGGAAGCGCCCGGGCGGCCTCGGGAACAGCGGGAAAACACGGGAAAACAGCGGGAAAACACGGGGAAACAACGGGAAAACAACGGAAAAACAACAGGAACAGCGGGGAAAACACGGGAAAACAGCGGGAAAACAACGGGGAAAACACGGGAAAACAGCGGGAAAACACGGGAAAACACCGGGAAAACAACGGGAAAACAACGGGAAAACAACGGGGAAAACACGGGAAAACAGCGGGAAAACAACGGGAAAACAACGGGAAAACACGGGGAAAACAACGGGGAAAACACGGGGAAAACAACGGGAAAACACGGGGAAAACAATGGGAAAAACAACGGGAAAAACAATGGGAAAAACAACGGGAAACAACGGGGAAAGCAGGGAAAAACAACGGGAAAAACAACGGGAAACAGCGGGAAAAACAACGGGAAAACAACGGGAACAACACCGGGAAACAGCGGGAAAACAACGGGAAAACAGCGGGAAAACACGGGGAAACAACGGGAAAACACCGGGAAACAGCGGGAAAACACCGGGAAAACACACGGGGAACAGCGGGAAAAACAACGGGAAAAACACGGGAAAACAGCGGGGAAACAACGGGAAAACAACGGGAAAAACAGCGGGGAAAACAACGGGAACAACAGCGGGAAACAACGGGAAAAACAGCGGGAAAAACAACGGGAAACAACGGGGAAAACAATGGGAAACAACGGGGAACAGCGGGGAAAACAGCGGGAAAACACGGGAAAAACAACGGGAAACAACGGGGAAAACAGCGGGGAAAACAGCGGGGAAACAACGGGAATCAACGGGAAAACACGGGAAAAACAACGGGAAAACACCGGGAAAACACGGGAAAAACACGGGAAAACACCGGGAAAAACAACGGGAAAACACCGGGAAAAACACGGGAAAACACCGGGAAAAACAACGGGAAAACACCGGGAAAAACACGGGAAAACACCGGGAAAAACAACGGGAAACAACGGGAAAAACACGGGGAAACAACGGGAACAGCGGGAAAAACAACGGGAAAACAGGGAAAACACGGGAAAAACAACGGGAAAAACAACGGGAAACAACGGGAAAAACAACGGGAAACAGCGGGAAACAACGGGAAAAACAACGGGAAAAACACCGGGAAACAACGGGAAACAATGGGAAAAACAATGGGAAACAACGGGAAAACAACGGGAAAACACCGGGAAAAACAGCGGGAACAATGGGAAAAACAACGGGGAAAACAACGGGGAAAACACGGGAAACAACGGGAAACAACGGGGAAAACACCAGGAAAAACACCAGGAAAAACAACGGGAAAAACGGGGAAAAACGGGAAAAACAACAGGGAAAAACGGGGAAAAATAGGGAAAAACGGGGAAAACACCGGGAAAAACAACAGAGAAAAAATGGGAAAAAACGGGGAAAACACCCGAGAGTGAGAGAAATGGCAGGAAAAGAGAGGGGAAAAACGGGAAAAACGGGAAAAACACGGGAAAACATGGAAAAGTGACAGAAACAGCGGGAAAAGAGAGGGAAAAATGGGAAAAAAGGGGAAAAAACGGGCAAAAAACCAGGAAAAACACGGAAAAACATGGAAACGTGAGAGAAATGGTGGGAAAAGAGAGGGAAAAACGGGAAAAAACAGGAAAAAAGGGGGAAAAATGGGAAAAACACGGGGAAAAAAGGGGAAAAATGGGAAAAAATGGGAAAGTGAGAGAAAGGGTTGGAAAAGAGAGGGAAAAGGGGAAAAAAACCGGGAAAAATGGGGAAAAAACGGGAAAAAATGGGAAAAAATGGGAAAAAATGGGAAAAAACAGAATTTTAAGGGAATTTTAAGGGAATTTTTGGGAATTTGGGGAACTTTGGGGAGTTTTTGGGAATTTGGGAATTTTGGGGGAATTTTTTAGGGAATTTTCTGGGATTTGGAGAATTTTAAGGGAATTTTTGGAAATTTGGGGAATCTTTGGGGGATTATTTTGGAATTTTTGGGTATTTGGGGAATTTTTAGGGGAAATTTTAGGGGAATTTTTAAATGGAATTTTTCAAAATTTGGGGAATTTTGGGGGAAATTTTTAAAGGAATTTTTGGGAATTTTGGGGGATTTTTTTTTAATGGAATGTTTGGGAATTTGGGGAATTTTTTAGGGAATTTTTTTAGGGAATTTTGGGGAATTT